CTCTCAGTCTTACATCATCCAAAAAGCTACTGTCTTTAGAGCAAAATTCAGGAGTTCATTATTGCCACCCTCTCTACCTCTCCTCTTCCCATTCTCTCGTGGACCCATTTCACATGGGCTTTCATTGCCACCACTGCACCAAAACTCCTCTTGACAAGGTCACCAGCGACCTCCTCGTCAACAAACCCAATCATCAGTTTCTATCCCATCTAATCCACTGGTAGCATTTAACAGTGTTGATGACTCCCTCTACCTGAACACTTTTTTCTTGACCTTTAGGACAGAAGGCACTTAAGTATCCTCCTATTTCATTGGCCACTTTTCCCCAAGGTTCTTTGCTGGGCCCTCCTCATTGCTCCAACTTCTAAATGTCAGAATACCTTCTAACTCAGTCCTCAGACCTCATCTCTATCTTCTTCTTCTGTCTCTACTCATTCTTCAATGAGCTCATCCAGGCCCTTAATTTAAAAATCATTCAGACTTGATGACTCCTAAATGTGCAGCTCTGGCCGGAGTCTCCAGACTCTCATATATGCAGCTCATATATGCTCTAGCCTAGTGTCCAGACTCACAAGTACCTACTCAACATTTCCACTTAACTGTTTAATCAGAATCTAAAACTTGAAGTGTTCAAAACAAAATTCCTGATTCTCCTTACCCCCAACATGGTTTCCTCCCAATATTCTCTTCAGTAAATGGCAACTATTTATCCAATCATAGGGGCCAAACACTGTGGAATCATCTTGCCTCTTCATTTTCACACACCAAAAAAGCCAATCTATCAGTAAATCTCATTGGTTCACCTTTCAAAATACATCTGAAATCTACCAACTTCTCACCACCTGGTCCAAGCACTTTTCTTCCTGAACAATAGTAAAAAGCCTCCTAAATACCCTCTCTGCTTCCAGTCTTGCAAGTCTATGGTCTAGTCTTTATGTAACTTTTAGAATGAGACTTTTGTTAAGTGTTAGATTATGCCAGATCTATGCTCAATTCTCCTAATGGTTTCCCATCCCTAACAGAATAATCAAAGTCCAAACATGGTCTACAGATCCCATACTGTAGTCCACAGCTAACTATATGACCTCATTTCCATTACCCTCTTTACTCACTTTGCTCTAGCTACCCTGAATCCCAGCTATATTTTGGACATATCAAGCATTCTAAGCCACAGGACCTTTGCATCATCTATTGATCCCACTTCTTGGAGTTTTTTTTATCTTAAGATAACACCGTGACTAAGTTATTATTTAAATCAGTTCCCTTTTAAATGCCACCTCATCCCAAGGCCTTTGTTCAATGCCCTTAATAAAATAGCACCCCTACTGCTCTCTATCCCCTTATTCTGCTTTACTTCATGGGAGAGTGTGAGCTATGTGTCCTCCACCATCTTAGCAATTTTCCTCTGCTTTTCCTTTTCTTAATATAGTTAATACACCTGACATAGAAGCATGAATTGCCTGGAACTGAATCTTGTCTCCATTACTCACTGTTACGACCCTGGCAGACTTCTTTACCTTTCTATGATTTATTTTCCACATTTGTTAAGATGGGAATAATAATAGAATCTACTTCATAAGGGTGTTAAATCATGTGATTTAAACAAGATTGTGTTTGTGTGTGAGACAGAAAAAAGAATAGAAAAAATGAAGTATCTGGTACATGGACATGACATACACACTAATTGTTAGAATAAATGTCGTTTGCCTCCTTCCTTAAGAACGTAAGCTCAGTGAGAGCATGATTTTTGTCTGTCTTGTTCCACTTTGTATCCCTAGTATTTAGAATAGTAACTTTACATAATATTTATTAAATGAATTAAAGATAAAATGGTCATGGCTGTTATGGGTTCATGCATCTAGCTACTTAACAACTGTTAAAACTCAAGTGAATTAATTTTAGTTGAGTGTTTTGAGCCTTGTAGGTATCCAAACACACTAACTACAAAAGACATTTTCTTACTTTCTTAGATTTAACTTTGTTTTGTATCCTTTTTAATTGGCTGGAACTTTTAAAACAGTAATCACCCTTGTTGTTCCCCCACCCCAGTTTCAGAGAGAACACAGAGTAGTGGCTACTTCATTATAAGAACTTTTTTTTTATATAATTGCTTTTTGCAGTGTATTAAATTTCCTTCTAACTCAGCACAGTGATAAGACTTCTTTTCTTACTGAACCTGGTAGAGGGGTAAGGGTTTCCTGTGGTGGTCAGCTGTTGCAGTCTGAGCACAAGGACTCTGATACAGACATGAGGCCATGAGTTCCAGTTCCTTCCAACTCACCAGCCTACTGACTTGGTGCTGGTCACTAGGTCTCCCTGATGCTCGTTATTTTCATATTTTCTCAGAGGTTTACTGTAAGAGTTGAATAAAATAAAGAAGATAACGTAAGTGAAGGGATTCACAAAGTATCTAATATATATTACATGCTAGACATTAGGTGTCTTGGCTTCCATTTCCCTTCATTTCAGAACAGATCACTCTTGAATCCTCATTTGTTTGTTTGACAAGTCATGTATGTAAAATGCTAAATGATAGCCATATCATAACCCATCACTGAAACAGAAGTTCTCCCATTCTGATAAGAGATCATTAAACAGCTCATTATAGCGTAATGTAAAATGTGCCTGACAGCAGACGTTCAATTAATGCTTAGTGAATAAATGAACAAATGGTTAAGTGAAAACCTTAACCTGTAGTGTGTAACTCTTTCCAGAGATTTCAACTTAGGGTAATGGTTTATCCTATCTTGGCAAAGACTAAAACTTTCAGTTCATGTACATATTAGCACACTACACCTCATATGTCTGTGGCTAGAACAGGGAAGGCGAAGACCTGGGGGGTAGAAAATGGAGCATGTAGACCTTTGAAGAGTAGAATGACATCGTTGTTTTTGTTCCTCAAAAAAGAAAGTGTTTCAAAATAGAAAAATCCTCAGTAATTTGTTTTTACAAACATCCAGTTCCACGTTGGCAGTGTAGTCAGACAGTTCCATGAGAAAATGCCATTAGCACAAAATAAAGTATTTCATAAGACTTCTAAGTACCCTTCGACTGTTTCCTTTTCTGAGTTTCCAATAAGAACTTAATTGTAAGATAAGGCAAAAGCACAAAGTTTTTCCAATTTCAGAAAAATAGACATCATTAAAGTTAAACCTAAAAATATATTCACCTATCATCATCCATCTTTCCTTAGAAAACAATAGTTGCCTATCCAAATAGAGAGTTTGATTGATCCTAGGTTCTCAAAACACACATGAATGGTTTCGGACAGACGTTTCATCAATGACAAATTGGCCTTGAGGGAAAGACGACCACCTTGGAAAAAAGCCACATAACCAAATTCTTTTAGTTTCAGCAGCACTCATTTGAAACTATTTTCTAGTCTTAAATTTCTAAGTAAACTTCTGTTAAAATAAATATTAAAGAACTCTTTAAAATTATAGTTGAATAAATCCTCTAAAGGCTAAGATTACAGTTTTAAGTAACCCACTAATCAACTCTCCAATTTTTATGGCAATAATATTACTGGCAAGAGTTTGCAAAGTGGTTGATGGGATCAACCACAGAGCCCTGTTTATAAATACTTATTATCACATTAGGAGCACACTGTTTTGATTTTTAGAGCATTCCATGTAAGTCCCAACCTTGAACTGATGCGATTAATACTTTTTCTTCTTGTGGTTGTATTTCATTTATGACAACACTCAGTTGGAACAGAGAAAATATCCCTTTTAAAATTAAAGACTCTAAATATCTAAGATTAGCATCGTTAACACCAGAAGCTGGGAAATTATCTCTTAGATATTCTTCAGAAAGGAAGGTGGT